TCTTTGAAAACATGTAATTCTCAGTAGTGACTGGGAAGAAGTAAACTGTGAAATAACTTTACTATTCTTCATTAGTAAAAATGGGGAGATGGTAGGGTAGCAGGTTGTTAAAACTGTATTAAAACCCCTCAAACTTGTCATTTTCTCATGTGCATAAAACTCATAAAGGGTGACAAAGTTGTTTCCCCAAAAAAAGAACACAAAGCAGCTTGCCAGCAACAGGATGTTCTCAGTAGCTTTGCATTCGGGAGATGACTGGGAGGAAAGGCTTGGGCTGTGGAGACGCTGGACTACCTTATGGTGTCTATAGAGGAGAATCACCATGTAGAGGCTGGTCCACATCATAAGGGTCACAAAGAAGAGATCTTGAATCAGTATGATACTCAAAAAGAATTCGGGTTTGATGTTCCCAAATTCTGTTGCTTCACAGTAAGCTTGTGAATATCCATGATCGACTTGAGAGCCATTCGTTTTGGCTACCACAGTCTCAATGACACGCACATAGATGATCAGGTTGATGAACCAGGAAAACAAGAAGTGTCACCTTTGGGCCGGAAATTGAAAGGAGTTGAACATTTCACCAACTGCTTTTCATCCTGAACTGTGAGTCAGCAAATTTCCAATAAATATCATTTAGAAATAATTTTATGGCACAGTCCATTTATTGATCATTTTGGCCTGATGAACCTGAAGGGTCTTTACAATCATGTTTCCGAGGGACACCATCTTGGGAATAGTTCTCATAGCTCAGTTTTGTGTTGGTATCACAAGGAACTCATTACTCTTCATTTTTTATATTTACACTTTTTCTTTAAACCTCATGTTAAGAGGCCAATAGATTCGATTTTCATGCACCTGACCATAGTCAATATAGTGATGGTTATATTCACACTGATACCAGATATGTCAACTTTTGGAGTACGTCGTTTTCTGGATGATGTTGATTGTAAGGTAATTATGTATGTATTCAGAGTTACTCGGGCCCTTACCATCTGCACCATCTGTATTCTGAGCACATTTCAAGCCACCACCATCACTCCCAGTAATTCCAAGTGGGCGTGGCTTAAGCCTAAACTCTCCACGTGGACTTTTCCCTCCTTTGTTTGCTTGTGGCTCATCAACATGCTCATCTGTAGTGTTATAGTTGAAATGGTAAAAGCCAGAAGCAATTTCACTTTTGTTGGTAATGGATATTATCATGGTTATTGTCTAAACAGTCTGGGAACCACAATTCAGGGTCATTTTTAAGTATCATACTGATTTGAGACCTTTTCTTTGTGGTCCTCACGATGTGGACCAGCCTCTACATGGTGACTGTCCTCTACAGACACCATAGGAGAGCCCATCACCGCCATGGGTCAAGACTCTCCCCCAAGTCTTTTCCTGAGCAGAAAGCCACTCGTGACATCCTGTGGCTGGTAAGCTGCTTTGTGTTCTTTTACTGGTTGAACAATTTTGTCACTCTTTATGGGTTTTATTGGCCTGTGAAAATCGCAATATTGGATGGAATTAATGCAATTTTTGTGTCATCCTTCCCAACCCTCTGCCCTTTTTTACTAATAAAGAATAAAAAAATTACTTTGCAATTTGCTTCTTCCCTTCCTATATTGAAAATTCACTGCTTTAGAAGTGCATTCAATGGCTGAACTGAATCTCACACTTTCACATCAGTGTCTTAATGATTTATATGAGAAAACCAAATTTATGTGGAACTTGAATATCTGATATGACCTGTCATAATATAGACATTTTGTCTATTAGTAAAATTTAGATATTTAAATTTGACACAAATAGAAGTCCATGTATATAATTGTAATAATTTCCACATTTATAAACCAAATTATGACACTTTGAGGAAAAGTAATATATTTTATAGACTCTTAATAGTATTCTAGTCTTTGAGCTTTCTTTATTAAAATACTAGCAGCAAATTTACAAAAACATTTGAGCTTTACAATTATCTACATACTGTGATTTTATTTTAAATCAATTTCAATTAAAACCTGTTTTCTTACCTTTAATTTTTTCATGTAGTTCACATTCCAGGATGGTAACCAAGAAAATTAAAAATGTTTTGATACCACAATATTCATGTTGTAAATAATTAGTGCACTTTATATTATTGGTATTGTTTAAAGTATGCAAATCCTTAGAGCTAATCAACAACTGTCTAATTGGATTTAAGGCCTGTCAATGGGAGGGAATTAGTGCGTGTTACTATAAACATAGCCAAGTACACATGGCTGGAGAAGTCATGGACAAAAGAGAACAACATACGTCTACCACTTTCTTAGACCAAAATAACTTCTTACTATATTCTAAGTATGTATCGTTATATTTATAGATAAGTGAACCACTCATCAAAAAGGCTTATTAAGCTTTTTGCAACAGATGGAGACTTGTCCAAAGTTCCAAAATGGGGTAAGAATTTTGAAAATATTCTTATTTCTTCTCTGAGAATTCCATACACTGCTATTTGATCATGTTTCCCTCTAACTCTTCCCAGATCCACCCCTACCTCCCCGGCCACCCAAATCTGTGTTTACTTTTCCCCATAGAATCAAATGTGTGTCGCCAAAGTACTCTTGGCAGCTGTGCCCTGGAACATAGTGAACTGAGCAGGTGTCATACCCTCAAGGAAAACTGATTCTTCCTGTTCCCATAGCCACCAAATGTGAAAGGCTCCTCAGCTAAGAACGGGACTTCCTGCCCACCTCCCTGCTCCATGCTGGTGCTTTGTGTGACTTCAGCTTGAGTAGGTGGTGTGCTTGCCCTCAAAATGACTGTGAGTTTATATGTGCAACTCTTCTGTTGTCTGGAAACCCCATTTCCTTGTAGTCTTCCGATCTTTCTTTTCCCTTTCCAGGAAGATTTCTGAATCTTAGGAGAGGGGTGTGATATAAATATCCAATTTAGAGTTGATCACTCCACAGTTTCTTACTCTGTTTGTTACCCAGTTGTATATTTTATAAAGTGTCTGTTTTAAGGGACTTCTTTTATCCCTTCAACAGATAAATTTTCTTATCTTAAATATTGCAATCATTATTTTGAAGAATATATGTACATTAGCATTTTTGAAAGAAATTTATAACAATGAGATGTGAAAATGAATGCTGTTTCTTATGTAAGAAAATATGTAAATATTGAAATTGTTGTAAAACTAGAGGTTCTTGGAAGTACTAAACTTGGGGTGGTAATTTGTTCTGTAATGTACAGAGGAATGCAAGAGTGGGTCATTTCACATCTTCCTAAATGTAACAGCATCGGTATAACTTTACATATGTGATGCAGGTATGAAGCTGTATTCTCCAGGTTGAATGTGATTCAAACCAGTTATGATCACCCACAGAAGTGCCTTATGAAATTATTCTTCCTGAGAAATTCTTCTTCTTGATGTTCACAAGGCTCACTACTTTAAAAGGAACATGCAGAGGACTCCAGTGGTGCTGCCTCTACTTTCCCCAGTAACACTTTTCAGTGCTAAAACTATTTGTGTATTTTCCCACTTGCAGATTGCATTCATTATTGGTGTAAAGTACCATGAATCATGTATGTTATGGGTGAATCTCTTCACTGGTTTAATTGACTATAAGTTGACCAAGGGATATCATTGGGACATACATGACTTTGACCCATTCACCTGTAATGAAATCTCTCACAATAGCTAAGAGATGGACGCAACTTAACTGTCCCTCAACTAACAAGTGGACAATGAAAATGTGGTACATTTACACAATGGAGTTCTACTCAGTGGTAAATAAAGATGAAATTTTCAGGTAAATGTATGGAACTAGAAACTTTTAAATTAAGTGAAATAACATAGACTCAGGAAAACAAATGACATATGTTCTCTCTCATATGTGGATCCTCACACGAAATCCTTATAAACAGACATTCCAGTCACCACTCATCAAAGAAGCTCATTTTGCACCAGTCATAGACAATTACCAAGTACCACAACTGGTCACACATGGACATGATCTATTAATTGCCCAGGCCTAAGGGACACATCTACAATTCAACCTCCACACCTAAGACTCATGGAACATAGAACGAGGATAAAGAAGAGGACACTAATGAATCTCTCAGTTCTCAATTATGAAGCTCCCTCATGCAGCAGAGAGCCAGGAACATAAAAGGTCACAAATGGCCAAAGTGTAGACATCAAGAGTCTACTAAATAATGGTCCTTGGACATGACCCCTTTTTTAAACTTCACCCACCCAAAGCTCAGGGACCATCATAGAAGAGGGGGCCGAAAGATTGTAAGAGTCAAAGAGGAGATGTGTGATCATATGGAAACAGGGTCCTACGAGCTCCTGGGAACCTGCTCATATCATTCTATGGCAATGATGTCGGCATACACAAGTCCTATGCAAACTCAGGCAGACAATAACTCAGCATAGAACTCAGAAAACGAACAGCAGACCCCCATCTTATCTGAAGGAATGTTGGCATCTGATTGCCACTGGATGAAGAAGAGCTGATCTTCCTAAAACAAGGGACTCTAGATAGGCTGACTAGGCTCAGTGGACCCACTTGCACTGGTGAACGGCTGGGAACAACGACAATACAGTGGGCCTTAACAGGGAATATATGGACTCCAGTCAGGGCGGGGAGCTATGGGAGGGTACCAGTGGGTATGGGGTATAAAAATGATCAAGTTTGTTTGAGATGTTCTGTATGAAATGCTTTGTTAAATTCAGCCTTCCCAAAGCAATTTATTCACTTCTTTATAAATTGCTTTATCCTACGATTTAACTGTTTATATCCTCAGTGCTGTATTGTTTCAAATTTGTTTTGTAACTACATTAAAACCATCCCTTAAAATAAAATTATAAAGTAAAAAAATAAAAAATTATATCAGCAAGATGGGCTTGGAGGACGTCCTGTGATCCGTTGCCACCTTCTTTTCCTGGGGTGAGCAGGTGTTTCTTTACATAACCTGAGTGAAGGACACGTGAGCATTGACAAACAAACAGACTCAAAGGTGAACTGGGTGGAGCCTTAGCCAATAACCCTAGCATGGCCATCTTCATCCATGTGCTGCCAGAGGACAGGCCTCCTTTCTCTGGCAGAAGTTGTATGACCTGTGATATGGGTGATAAGAAATTCCATAGAGACCATGCGTCTGCAGAGAGGTAACAAGGCTACCGAACAGAAATGAAACTTGAAAAGGACGGTGAGTCGACCTTCAGTCTTAGCTCTGATTTTGCAGGTGAACTGAATGGGGAGGGGGGTGAAGATGGACAAGTCCACCAGGCTGCTGCCTTCTTTTCATTTAGTTTTATTTTTTAAACGTTTTATTTACAATTTTCATTTTCTGTGTATGACTGCACTGCATGCATGTGTGTAAGTGCACCCATGTCATGCAGTGCCCACAGAGGTCAGAAGAGGGCGTTGGATTCTCCTGATACTGGAGTTCTGGATGGTTGTTAGCCACCATGTGCATGCTGGGAAATGAACCAGGGTCTGCTGAAAGAGCAACCACTGCCCTTAACCACTGAGCCATGTCTCCAGCCTCTATTTATT